GTTACTTATAGATCCAACCAATCATATTCAATCGCTCGGTAAGCACGCCTAGCCGCTTTGCCGTCTTGAACTCGCCCATTGTTTATTAAACTTAAAACAAAGATAACACAAATAGCGCTAATAGCGCGCTCCTCGAATGCAACCCTAAACTCATGGTGCATGCCCGTGACGTAGAACATTACTAGTCAACGCATGCGCATGTTTTGGGAAGGCAGTCTTTACGTACGTGATGTGACATGTAAGTGATGGTTACATTGTCTGTAAAACAAACTAAATTATTTATAAAGGATATATAAAGGAATATATTTTTTATATCAAGTTATTTTATTCCAGAATGGTATCGATTCAAAAGCTCATAAAAATAGCAAGTTTGGGAGGATTTATAACAGCAAGTACAGGTTATATTCTCTATTATCGCATACAATATAATATTAAAAAAAGTGAGACTCATAAAGATGTTATGAATACCCTACGTGCACATAAGAAAGCTATACCATATCTTGGAGAACCTATATCGTTGGGCCGCATCACTTACGGTGATGGATGTCGAACGCTTGAACATGAAGATCCAAAAATTACACAAAATTACAAATGGTTCAAAGTTCCACTTACAGGTACCAATACTAAGGGAAAGTTATATTATGAAGTAACATGGAATCGTAAACTTGAAAACACACTTGAAGCATCTAAAATTGAAATTACATTTGATAATATACCTGGAAAGACATTTATAATAAGACAATGTGAAATAAATTAAAATTATAACAAACTTGTATCGAGAGAAAAATAGATTTGTTATTTATGTAAAAATATTTTTAGAGATTTAATTATATACTGTATAAAAATAGTTAGATAATACTACAAGGACAAATTAAAATTGAAAATAACACAGGGTAATTAAAGTATTACAATTATAATATTTTAATAATTCATATAAAATAGATATTAACGGAAAGTTTGTAAAGGCATATCGGTAACACCTTCAGGTACTCTCAAACCGCGTCTTGAGTAGCCCAAAGCTGCTTGGATAATATGTATGGCTGCTTGCACAGTCATCTTTACATCTTGTTTATTACCAATTTGTGGATTAACTTCTACTAAATCGATAGCAGTCAATCTATGTGTTCTAGATATTTCTTCCATAAGATGAATTGCTTCTCTAAGAGACAGTCCTCCACGTACTATACAAATATGCAAATATAGGGATTTATAATACTACTTATGTACACTGATACAATACATATACTACAAACCTGGTGTTCCAGTGCTAGGTGCTTCGAGAGGATCTAATGCATCTATATCAAAGCTAACATGTAAAGATTTCGAGTTATGAGAATCTATTTTATTAAGTGCCATATGTACCACATCGTGAATACCTAAAAACATTAGTATTAAATGTATTGAATATTTTATGTAATAATCAATGTATAATTATTTTGCAATCGAACCATAACGTTCTATATCTTCCATTCCGTAAGCAGTAATACCAAATTTTTCAATTATTAATCTTTCATAGCGATCTATGGATCTCAAACCAATATAAGCTACATTTCTGATAGATAATCTAAAAAAGTGATATGTCGATTAAATTTATTTTTTATATTTATTTTAATATAATAATTTTAATTCATTTGATATAATTTAAAAAATAACAGCTTTATGTTCTGAATATTATTGCATTCTTACATTGGCATTTGCCAGTCCATGCCTGGTAAATACGGCCAATAATCAGCTAGTTCCGAAGTTAATAATGCTACGGGCATTCCATGCACATTACCACTTTCACTGGTTTTGTTAGTATTTAAATCTGCATGAGCATCTACCCATATTACTGCCACATCTTGTCTTTCCTATGAAAAAAATATAATATTTGGATTTAATGAAAATTATTGATTTTTCTATAAAAATATTTCTCTTTTATACCTTGACATGTCCATCGATTGTACCAATGCTCAAGCTGTGATCACCACCGATCGTTAATGCTTGCCTACCATCGCGTAACACTTGTTGAATTTGTTCAGATAAGTTATTCATACAACTAGCCACATGACCCAAATGTGACATATTTTTTACATCATTTATATCATTTACATTATAATGCACATCGCCATAATCTCGCACATCCAATTCTTTTTTTTATGAAATAAATATAGATTATGTTAATTTACAAGTTATGTATACTGACGTTTATACAAAAGATATATATATTGCTGCATAAATTTACCTAATATTTTTAATTTGTCTACCAGATTTGCTGCTCTGATCGTCTCAGGTCCACGAGCTACTCCTTCCTTTTTCTGTAAAATTTACTATTTTTATAACATTTTATACTCTTGTTTATTACTTATACTAATCTTTTATTTAAAACATATGCACTATTGGATATCGAAATTAAAATTGTTTGGATATTTTACATTTACCTGGCCTTTATCAAAAGGTACTCCGATTATACCAACTTTTCTACTGTAATAGTGAATATTTAATTTATTAGAAATTATGCGAACTTTAGTCAATATATTCATTTTAAAATTTATATCTCTTCTTTGCTGCAGTTACTTGTGATTACATATAAAGAAATGATCTGTTCTTTGACCTATAACTGCAGTCTGATATGGAAATCTTATTGACGATACAGATGAAATAAAAAAGACCATCAATAATAAATATGAGCAGTAGATATGAGAGTGTATACAGGGTTGCCACAAAAAATAAATTTTAAAATTCCCTGACTTTCAGGTTTTCTAGATGAAAATGGAAAATTTTCCATGACTAATATAAAATATGTAAATTTAGGACGGATCCATAGCTCAAGATTCGACATTAGCTAGTGCATGAACCAATCAGAGAGCTGTATTAGCATCTTAAAGCATTGTTTGAGATTAAGAACGGACTGGATTCCGGCCTTAGAATTAAGGATTGTAGGAAAGCTAGTCTATATTAGTGTTGCGAGGGAGGGAAAGAATCGGGAAAGAATCCGGGAAAGAACGGGAACGAAAAATATTTCTTCCCACGCTTTGAGAGAAAGAACCCGTGGCCACCGTATTTTCTTCACATATAGCGACATTGGCGACAAGACAGTTCTTGTGCATTACTAAAGACATAATACTTAAGTTATAAGACACAGTCTTAAGATTATAAGTCAACGTTTTTGCTACGGCCCTGACTATCTATATATCTATGGCCTATGATTGTAACATACCTTCAAATATTAACGGCTAACATTTTATTTTTAATTCCTCGTTTATTTTATGTTGCTTTCTGTTCCATACAAACTTGATGTACTTATGTACATATTATGTTAAGAGAAAGTTTTTTATAATTTTATTTAATATAGCAGCTTGTTTCTTTAACTTAACTTAATTAACTGTATAAGTAAGACTATATATTATACATACTATACTGTAAAAGCATATATATATATATACTATTATTACTATTATTATTTGTGCCTCCCTTTTATTGTAAACTTTTATATTTTGTAAATATCTATATGGCTCAATCAGAATAAATCAATAGTAAAAAGAATGGGCTATGAGCCAGTTATAACATAAAGAATATTTAATAAACTTTCTTACATACATGCAAACGTTTCGACACCGATCGGGTCATTTTTAATGCAAAACAATAAACAAACTTATAAAATTCTCGGAAACTGATGTTAAGAAAGTTTATTAAATATTCTTTATGTTATAACTGGCTCATAGCCCATTCTTTTTACTATTGATTTATATTTTGTATTTTTTAATATTCCATTCAAGGAATTAATATCAAGATGCCACCTTTCAAGGGTAAGGTATGGATTTATTTTGTGTTGCTAAGGATTTGATATTTTTATAATTACTTAAATTTAAAAAACCGTTTTTTTCCCAGTTCCAGGTTCTTTACCGGGAAAGATAGGTTCTTTCTCGACAATTTAAATTTCCCTGAAAATTAACAACACTAGTCTATATTATTAAAAACAACGCAAAAGAAGCTTAGTAGCATAATAAAATTTTGGATGCAAATTCAAGTCAACAAAAAATAAATTATACTATTGGAAAAAGAATGAATTATAACGAAAAAGAGCTATCAAATAAAAATACTGCACAAAATATGTATAAATTACATGTTTTGTACAAACACATTTAATGAAATAAAAATTTGTTTAAATAATTTCAAGTGTGCGAGTTTTGAACGTATTTGACTATATATATATATATACATATATAAAAACGTGATATAATATTTAAAAAATTATAACAATTATTTCCCCTGATTTTTCCCAGTTTTCCAGATCTGTAGCAACCCTGATATATGTGTGTATATACATACAGCATACAATTTCACATAATTTCTCATGTGATGTATTTTGAGAAATTTTGAGTACTTTTATTTCATATTTTCGGGAAAAAATGTGATAAATTCTGAAAAATTTGTCATTTGAAAAATTATACATATATAACAGTATATAATTATACATATATATAACAGTGCTCGGCATTAGATGCACATTTCGGGCTGATTCCAGCGAGCGACCCCCACTACCGCTCGAATCTCAGCGGCCAAGCCACCGATCGCTCACGTGACGCTTTGGCTCAGGAGTGTCTCTATATCTTAAATGTGCTGTGGTCATATCTTTCGTTATTAAAGAATATCTTTTTTACTAAATAATTTTTATTTTCTTAAAAAATAAAGTACTAAATTTTCTATTATTAATGCATTAATATGCTCCATATAATAATATGTATAATTATAGCAATACGTGTGTATGTATAATGAGAGTTCCCTGGGAAAAAATGTTTCATATATAATTATATATGTTACAATTATATATAAAATATATCTATTTATATACGATTATATAAAATTTTATATAATTATATATAAAATATTTTTTCTCGGGGAACTCTATTATACACGTATTATTGCTACAATTATATCACTCGCCGGCTCTCTTAAGGAGGTTCTCGCGTTACTTCCTAGTCAATAGACGGTTTATTCATAATATTATATGTAAAACAAAATAATGGAATAAAAAGGTTACTAACAATATCTTATGCCATTATACATAATTATTGTTAATTTTATGTTACTAAATATTTTCAAAATGACAAAATAAAAGTTGTAAGATGCTTGTTTGATGTATACGCATCGTCCATTTGACATATATTCTAGCTTTTTTCATTGAAGAATATAAATTTCTTGTAAACTGTACGGTCAGTTTAAATGAAACTTTACGAGAACAAACTTAAGTGTTTACTTAAAATATACAAACTAAGGGACTCAGAACAACAAGCAAGATGTTAGCTATCGTTTAATAATAATAATAAAAATTATATTTAAGTACAAATACAAATACACACGTTTTTTCTCTCGACCTTATAATAAGGTCATTTTCAATATTACATAAATGACATTCTATCTAATCAACAATTAATAAAAAGTTGCTACATACCACATAATCGGACACATTAAAGCGTTTATAATTTAAATTTAACATTTAGCATTCTGCAGTAATGAGTTCTAGTAACCATAATAGTCCATGAAATTCCAATGAATTAGATCCAAACTTGATTGTATATCGTACAGAGTATAAAATTTGATCGTGATTTTAGGCGATTTTTGACGTGCTATACCAGAAGCACGCCAAAATTCGCCTTTTGTTCCAATGAATTTGATCATTTTTTAATTGTATAGAGTACAAAATATCACAATTGTCCATGTTGTAAATGTAAAAGTAATTCAGTTAAATAACGTGAAATTGCATTAAGTGTAGTTCACAATATGTAAAATTTAAT